TTGAATATAGTTATCAGTCCACACATGACAAGTAAGGTATATGTGTATTTAACGGTTATCTTTTTAATTTTATTGTGAATAAACTGGGTACTTTTTGATGACCTGAACGTCTGATCCTAACTAAATTAGGTTGTGTTTCACATCGATTTTTTTTTTTTTCCCTTGCTCAGTGGCGTCCATAATTCATTTTTTATAAAGAAGCTTTTGGAGCGTAGCCCCACAAAGCCCTAAACTTCGAAGGATCCCATTTGTGAAGAAATCACTCATCCTGCACTTAGCACCACAAAGAGGAAAAAAAAATCTTACTTTCTCCTGTTTGTTTCTTCCAAAAAAAAAAAATTCATGTGAGGCAATAATTCCAATATGAATAAGAAAATAAGATAAATGTTTTCACTTTTTACCTCTCCCTGCAGTTTTATGCTTCCATATCACGTTGTACCTATTTTTTTTCCGGGCCAAAATATATTGGGCATGATTGCTCTTTTTAATTTTTACCCTTCCATAATTGTACTTTGGTTAATCATTTACACAATTTACTTGTAATTCATTACTATCTTTAATTATTTTTAGTTGCCTCATATCAATCTAACGTGTTAATACAAGTATGCCTTTCATTTTGTATTATCCCTCAATTTATATAATAAACTTTATAACAACTTGTTCCCATTCATGAAGTGCTGTTTATTCATCAATCATCAGACGATCGTGCTCAGTATATTATATGGCCAGGTATATATAGCTAGTTTATGCATAATCTGAAGAAACAAAGGATATACTCTATATTGGTTTGGAAAAAAAAAGAAGATATATTCCATGGTGTTGAATGTAAGGGTTACTTAGCTAATTTAGATACATTAAAAAATTTAAATAAATCACTTAATACTAACAAATGAAACATGATTTTCTTGAAGTATCTACATGTAATATTAAATTAATTAAGTGTGTAAGTTAAATAAATTAATTTAGAAAAATAAAAAGGATAAAAGACAAAATGAATTAAGATCTTATATTTAGGATCATAATTGACTTTCTAACTAACACTTACATTTATGTTTGGAAAAGTAACATATATAATTACAGTGAACACAATGGGAATGAGTATGGAGAGTGAGCATAGACAATGGCCCCTCGAACCAAACTACTGGGCTGGAATATTTGTGCATGAAGTATATTAACATTAAGCTATATATATATATATATATATCCTACTAATTATTTAATTAAGCTGTCTTGAACACACGACTAATTAATTATTTTGATGTATGTCCCCATATCTCCAAAGTGGAAGTGAAGTTAACTTATGCATGAAAACTCGTTAGTAACTAATAATTAAGGCCTATTTGTTTATTTTCACAAAAAAGATACATTTTGTTTTTTTTTAAAAAAGAATATGTATGTCTTGTTTTGTTGAGATGGGATCAATGAAAATACACCATTTTGTTTTTTTCGCGGGATTTGAGAAACGAAAAGAGCCTTCATCCGCAAATGATTCATACAAACCGACAAATTAAATGATAGTGAAAGCATAAAAGATAAGAAATGGAAGACCAAGATGGCTTCTTCAGTCTAAACCTGCCCGTGCCTGCAAGCAGACAACTTGTTTTGCTGCTGAAGAGAACAATACTTGATTTATTGGGCAGCATTTATGCATATCAGCCACGACGCATAAGCCATAAACGATGAAGAAGGGGATGCCAAATTTTGAGGTTGCTTTCATGTGGAGCCCAAATTTGCGTGCCTACGCAATTTTGGCCTTAAAACTTGTCCACAAAACGACATCGTGTGGCCCTCAAGATATCCGACTATAAGCCTAAACCTTTTCATCTCGTTGCAGCTGTCTCTTTCAGCAGATTTGGAGTCCGTTTGAAACAGTTTATAAGTAGCTTATAAACTGTTTTTTAATAGTAATTTACGAAATACGAGACAAGTATGTGTGTGCTTATAGGGAATTTTCACGACTCTGCCAAATGGGGCTTTACTCTCTTTCTGTTCTGTTTTTTTTTTTTTTTAGGTTAGAAGCAATTGCAACTTCCACCAAGGAAATTGAGAAAAAAAAAAAGGGAGTCTTCAATTGTCGAAATAAGAAGAGCAGCTTGCGACGGGGGCTGGGTTATACTAAGTTGAAGTTTAGGAATTAAGTTATAATTTAATTAAAAAAAAAGGGACCAAAAAGATTAATTTCGAAAAACAAAATTGGTTTAAAGACTTGTGATAGCAAAAGCGTTGAGCACTGACCTAACGCTGACAGCAGGAATGTGGGATATGGCCTCAAATGACGTTGACGGCTTTTTGGAATCCGAAGGCCTCAATCTAGACGCAAGGCCTAAGTGAATAATAGTGGGCCTGTAGAGCCCAAAATTAAAAGCAAGAGGCCTTGCATGACAAATTTCAGACATAAAAGCCCAGCCCAGTGCGAATCGGATGGCCCACTTGATGAACTTCATTATTTTTTATCATTATATTATCATTATATTTCTAGAGAACTTGATATATATATATATATATATATTGGCTCTGCATAAGTATATTCTTATTGGATGCAATTGTGTTTAAGAAGTTGTTGGGCACTAAATGTGGACACTTCTCTTAACAAAATTCGAATCTTAATTCATCCGGGGATTAGCTCCTTGTACAAAACCCAAACCCTGTTGGTTAAAGAAGGTCATATTGCTGGTGAAGGCCGGGACTACGACAGAGGAAGAGGGACAAATGAGAACCGACAGAGCGCCTCTGGTTTCTAAACAAGAAATTGCATTAACTACGTTCAATTTGGAACCCAACCACCCGCTCACGCCCTCATACATCTAAGGGCCCAAACCAAACAAGCATCCCACAATGCTCCACCTAAACCAGACACGACCACACTTTGCCTTCCCTCTACAGATTTGCGTGTTTATCTCTCTCTCTCTCTCTCAAGAAAACAGCGCGTGATATTTTAGTTTTAAACCTAAATCTTTTTGTAGTTTGATCTGCAAATGATTTAAAAAGATTGGAATGGTCACGTGCAATAACCACCTCCTCTGTAGATTCATTGCATTCTCGTAGCAATATTTCTTTAACCGAAACAGCATGCATGCATTGACACGCAACTTATGAAAATGAAACTAAATAACACAAAAACACATGGGCCAACCAAAAGTCATAGGAATCAACATCAGAGACGGACCGGCAGAGTCTGAGACTTTAATTGTTCCAACTACATCATTCATCCTCAGCGAACCCTTCCCCTCAATAATAAATGCTGTGATATTTTGGCCTGGCCTTCCAGAATCAAATCAGAAAAGAGAAGTTTTCAAGTTGGGCCTCATGATCTCATCTAGATACACTTAATCACTACACAAACAAAAAGACAGGTACACAAAACATGAAAGAGGTATGCCCCAATTCACGGATTTTGCTTAAGAATACGTTGTAACATACCAAAAATACGAGTTGCATGTTGCAGCAGCAGTAATCAAAGGCAAAACATGGCCACATTTTTCAGGCAGAAACTCCAAGCTTTCAAAACCAACGGCGCCATCCACATTATTGAGTTGGTCTCTCCACGATGACATTTCATGATGAGCGACGGTAGAACAGAGCAACAAAAAGGAAAAGCCAAATAAGCAAAAATTAAGAAATGACTCTCCCTCACACACGGCCGTCGGGGGTGGCTGCAAGGAGCTCAGTCACAAGTAAGAAAAAAAGCAGAATAGAATTTAAAATGACGAATTAGAATGTTGGAATTATGATACACAGTATTAAAATCAATTTCGTCATATTAATCAGGGGTAATAACGCCAAGGCAACCTAACCAACATATCCTGATCACAGCAGGCATCCAATTCTTTACACTTTGTTTCTTTTAATGGAAGTATCGTACTCTTTACTTGAATATACTATCGCATGAGATATAATGTATTTATGGGTTCAATTAACTTAAATAAACTCTCTAATTAAATTTTAACATCACTCCACTCACGATCCTGAAATCATGTGAGTCATAACACGATAGAAAAGTATACAAATTTCTTCTCATCTTGCTTCAACTAGCAGATTATCTAAAACAATCAGGCTAAGTAGAAAATGCTCCACAGCTCCACCTAAAACAGATACTATGGTCATTTATGAAAAGACAGGAATCTTAATACTGCCAACTGGTCCATCTGAACTATGGCAAGTCACGTGCAATTTCCTATAAAGTAGATTCAATGTACATATGCTTTCAATTAATAGGACGTGATTTCCATTAACAGCAAAGCAAATCAAGTAATAGTGCTTCAACAAAAATCAATAACAAAGCGGGCATACAAGTATTTGATAATAGCACCCAAATATGACTAGTTAAGACTTCGTAATACTTGACCCCAAGCCAGAAAAATGTTGATATAGACAGCGGAAATGGAACCATATATAGCTTTTATTATAAGCAAAGAGATTCTTAAGCAAAGAACCTTAAACCAGATCACTCATGCAAATCATATCAAGCAGGAACTACGTCACCATCCTCCTCACCCACATAAAAATTCTTTCTAATAAATCAATTGGCATACACTTCTACAAGCCGATTGCTTTTCCCACAACTTCAATTAATTACGCTGCTCTCGTCCTCATTTCTTGTTGCATCTGACTCTTTAAACTCTTTGACAAGTTGCGCCATCACATTAAGTTGACCTTAACAATCAAACTTTCCACCTATATACAATTGATTGATTATGCCAATCTGGCCAAGTCTGAGAGGTTCCATGATTAAAATAGCAAAACATAGTAACAGAAAAGAAAGCGAAATGAGAAGTTTAGAACCAGCTCTTCCACACTCGGGAGGCACACAGTTAGGACACATCAGTCAAAACCAAATGTCAAAAGTAGCAATTTTTTCAGAAGCATAAATATAACTTGAAGAAAAAAAATTCACTTCACATAGCAAAAACTAACAACAAAACACCGTAAAAAAGTTCGAAGTTCTAACAATGATATTATTGTTTGGGAAGTAATACCAGCATTTTGGCTTTTGACCCGTGTTTGAGCAGAGGAGAGATTTAAGGTTTTTGTTTAAGCCACAATTACACATAAAGCTGTTGCCCAAAAAAAAAATCAATTACACATAAAGCCAAAGTGCCATACAATCATTTTAGTTGGCGAATGCACAGCATAAATAGAAGTTGGATTCACCTCAGTGCACAATCCTACAACCAATTTACTCTCACTTGAATCTTATACAGAGGACTAGAATCAGAAAAGCTCAAAAAACAAACCTTTCATTGTTAATTACAAAAGACCTGGGAACAAAAACCAAGCCACTATGAAGATTTAAGTGAACTTCGGCTTAGGCACAGGGCCGTTATTTTGATGCACAGGACCAAGCTTTTGAATCCAATGAAGCAGTCCTTTCTTATGGTCTTGGCAACAAAAGTTTTGCGGTAGCTTCATAGTTCCATTAAGGGAAAGTGAAGATTCAAATTGCTCTAATATCTTGACAATCTGCCAGAACTCGGGCCTCTTATCTGGATGTGAGGACCAACATTGCTCAATTAAAGCTCGCATAGCAGATGGGCAACTTGAAGGAATAACAGGTCTTGAATTCTGGAAAAAGTAGAAGACAAATCACGAAAACATTAGAAATGCTTATGTAAAGCTTGTTATTGCCGTTCCGTGATAAGAGAAAAAAGGGAGGGGGAAAAAAGCTAGATGGTTTGCCGACTACATTATAACAACTTCTCCGTGCTTTCCAGAAGCTTATAGACCCCAAAATTTGAATTAGCTTTATTCTTAGCAATTTATTGGCTAAAATGTAATGTCACTCGAGCGGATATAATCATTTACAGTATTATTAGAAGAAACCTATTTGCGCTAGTTTAGGAAATTATCAAAACAAACTTGCACTCCATTTCCTCTTTTGTATCAGCAAGTCATTCCCACATCTCTCAACTTACGGTTGATACTTTTCACACGTAGAGAACAAGGCTAAAAGTCTAGGTCATGTGCAGTTACAGTACATTAAACATAACGGCCACTTTTATATAATAAACTGTAAAAAATTTAAAATTAGGCTCAAAATGTTCAGATATTGCAAGGCACATCAGATCATGCCTTATCCAACGCCTAGGCTCGAACTCCAAAAGACAGGAATAGATAATGAAAGCAATACAGGTGGATTGAGGGAGGGGAAAGGGCTGGGTAATTTTTCTTATTGTTCAAGAGAAATCCTATGAACAGTAAGAAAGGCAATGACATTTTTCACATTGCAAGCTCACAAGACCTGGTTGCGAAGAAGCATACCTTATTTACCACAGCATAAGCAGCCTGGATGGGAGTCATATCCTCGTACGGTATTGTCCCAGTCACCATTTCCCATAGGATCAGCCCGAAACTGTACACATCAACCTTTCTCCCATAGGATTTACGTTTGATCATCTCAGGGGCCATCCAACGATATGTGCCAGGGTCATCAGTAAATACATCACGGTATGCCTCCTCACAAGCAATGCCAAAATCAGCAATTTTGAGGTGAGAATCTTCACTGATAAGGACATTCTCTGGCTTAAGGTCCCGATGTATGATACCTCGAGAGTGTATATATTCCATTCCACGGGCAATTTCCAGAGCAAAAGCTATTAGTTTTTCAAGAGGAACAGTTTTGTGCTCTAACTTATGCAAGTATGCCCTTAAGGAACCTTCTGACAGAAATTCTGTGATGACACAATAGACGGGTGGTTTTCTGCAAGCTGCTACAAACTGCGCAAGAGAGGTTAAATATATTAGATAGGACATGATATAAAAGTCAAAGCCCCGTTATTACTGTACGTAATTCCAACAGAACAGGTGAAGGATGCATAAACTATACATCTTCTCGCTTAGTACTACGGCTGATTACTTTGACACAACTAATTAATGCGTCAAAAGACAAAAGTCGGCCAGTTCTCAGGGAATCTCCTACCTCGTTCTATGATAAAAAAACATCAGAAATTGAGAACTAGTTTCTCCATATTTTCATTGAAAAAACTACTTGCAAGTAAGAATCTTTTAACGAAACCTTGTCAATTAGAAAAAGCAATGGACTTGTTGACTTTCTAAATGAACAAGATGTAACAGATCCTTTACGTGAAGAGCAATTTTACTGTAATAAAACACAAAAAATAGGAGAAGTGAAAGAATTCGAGCACCTTTATAACATTTTCATGGTGGAGACGAGATAAAAGAGTGACTTCTCTAATGAACTGTTTCTCTAATCGACCAGCCATGGTTCCACTATCGTCATCATCTGGTACCCTAATAAGTTTCACTGCAACAGGTTCATCCTTATAATTACCGCGATAGAGTCGGCTATGAGCTCCATGAGCAAACCTAAGCCCAAGAAAGAGCTTAGAAAGATCAACCGTCCATTCTTCTGCAGTTTCAAGAGCAGTAACTCTTCCTCCGCCATGGTCAAAATACTTGGTCCACGCAGATTCCTTCCGACCCCTCAGGTTATCGCTCGATTTCGAACTTGACAAGATCGGACTTCGCGATGGCGATTTCAAATTGAATGTTTTGACCTCTCGAGAGTCCTTATTCGACACCTTCCCCATGATCCTCTTGTCATGATTCTTATCATGATGTTCTTTCCTCCGAGGACCAGGAGTTGAGAACCTCTTTCGTTCATGCTTGGCTTCGCGGAAGGTGTCAGAGAGGAATGTTTCTGGTAAAGGAGACACAGATCTCGGCTTTTTCACATTAGGATTTTGATGCATCTTTGGTCCATCAGCGCCATGGTTCAGATTGAAAGAAACTGTAGGCCTCGATTTAAGACCAGAGGCGGCTTCAGACTCAATGCAGAGAGGAATCGTGGCCAATCTTGAAGAGTCCAATCGGTGGCACACAGTGTGAGAGAATTTCGTCCTTCTTATCCATGAAGAGGTATCTTCTTCCATTTTATCCTATATTCTCTCTCTGATTCCTTCAAGCCCTAAAATACCGATACGTATGAATCTCCAGCTGAGAAGAAGGCTTCAAACAACCGAACACGCACTACTCCTTGAATAATATTTGCACAGATCACGAAGCTCCCACAAAACAGCAATTAGCAGACGAACAAACAATAAAGAGCCTTCAAATTTTTCCCTCAAAGAAATGAAAAATCCATTCGAACCAACGAAGACCAAAGAAGGATGAGCAAATTTCAGATTTAGATAAGTACAGTTCCATTCGGAGACGGAAACCTATGGAGCTCATCAGAGCCCATTCACATTCAAGAAACGATAAAACAGGGCGATGTTTGTTCACTGTTCAGGACCTGACCTTCCGTAACCTCAACAGCAAATCCCTATGAGCGAAAAAGTCAAATACCACCTTCCGTAGAGGCCTGAAAAATCCCACACAGATACCGAATAAACAAATGTTAATAATCAAATAATCCTGCAAATTAAATAATACAAAAATAAAACTCAACAGCAACCCGAAAAAAGAATACTGCTAATTCATATCGATAGCAGAGAAACACAGACACCCATGATTACGTTCCGCTGGGCTCCAGGAGAAGAAAGGATTTTTTTTTTTTTTGGGTTTCGAGTTTTAAAAATGTTATCATTGGCATTAAAGAATCGTAAACCTCCTAAACTAAATAATAAATTAATCAGGCCCAGATACACAAACAAAACTAATTACATCATCCTAAGAATAAAATACAGGAAGCTTACAGGTCCACAAGGCTATCGGAAGGTTTCTCTCACAGGGGAAGACAATTCGAGATGGTTGAGAAAGAGTGGTTTTCCCGTATTGAGCTTTGAAGTTGGGAAGGCGAGAAAAATCCTGCACCTAAATCCCATTCTCCGCGATGAGAGAAAGAAATTACTGTTGGCCCGTTGTAGTATTTGTAAAATTCAACGAAGATCATACGTATAGCATACGGAGGAAGACAGGGACTGTAGATTTTTCAATTCGATGAACCCACCAAATTACCGCTCGCAGGACAAGGATGATGACGACGACGATGACGAGAGATTGAAAGGGCCCACCTTTTTGCTCTTGAAGCGATGAAGAGTTGGGGAAAACGTACCTGGGGTAGCAGTACCGTGGAGGGTTTGAGGATATAGAGGGGGGCGGGGATGGCGCTAGGTGGCGGGGACCACAGAGACAAAGTCAGAAAAAACGGAGAGCAACAGAAGTTTTTTTGCTTTGAATTTTCAATTTTCAATTTTGTTTGTTTGTTTTTTGGCGATCGAAGATCGAAACTTTGGCCAAAAAAAAAGTGGAAGTGGCAGAATCCAAGTGTCGTTATCGGAGAGAATGAGGAAGGATGAGACTTTCGCAACAGCAAGCCAAAGCCGGGTTGCATTTTTGGTACGGTGCGCACGGATACCATACGGTTGGTATAATTTGGTTCTCTTGAGGAAATTCTGGGTTTGTTCCCAAAGGAATTATACCAATCATATACTCAGATCCAAAAGGAAAAAACATGTTATATTATAAAACAGAAGCTTCTATAATAATAGTGTAATTTCATACCAGTAGGATTTTTATTATTATATTTAAATTTGTCCAATAACTTTATATCAAAGTTTCAAATTGTTTATGCATTATCAACTAATATCAAATATTAGACCGACAGCCCATTATTCACGGCACATAGTTTTAAAAACTCAATCGTTAATCACCGTCCTTTTCTCTGTTTAACGAATGAAAAATTAACGGTATAATTGTAAGTAACTTTAAATTTAAACGAATTATAATAATTTTTTTCGCCAACTAAATAAATTATAATTGTGATGATTACGTATAAGAAGTTTCTGATAAATAAAATTTATCCTGATTCCCAACTCTCAACGGCTATTTGAGAGATAATGACCATTTCTTTTTGTCAAACAAACATGATCCATCAGATCGAAAATTATAGCTTAGGCGAGATAATTTTTTTTTAAAAAAATATTTTTGTGGTAAAAATGCGGAAAATTCTTAACTTGAGTATTGCCCAAAATAAATATAAACAATTTGACCTAATATTATCAAGATAATATTACTTTGAATAAACTTCGGAATAACCACTAGTTGGTGGATTATTGTCCTGTAAGAATTTGCTGACAAATAAAATTCGTCTTGATTCTCAAGTGATATTAGGTAACGATAACTTGGGAGTGATAATTGTTTTTTCTTTTGAACATTTTTTTGTGGCCAGAAGTGTCACTTTGAACAACAGTTCCGAATAAATAGTTGATTAAATTATTATCTCGATGCTTACATATTACTGGTCAATAACTTAGATTCCTTGCATTGCCTGTTATCAGATAATAACCAAATTATGTAAACAAAAAAAATAAATATTTCATTTTTGTTACAATTAAATATTTCAGTCATGGATAAAGATTGACGCCTCTCAAGTTCTAACTTGATTAAACAGAATGTTTTTCTTTTTCTTTTTTTTCCCCTGACAAAACTTGTTCTATTTTGTAAATGTTAGCTCATAAGACATAGTGTTGGTAGGCAATTTTAAGTGCCTGTATAAGCACTCTAGATCTGAAATCATGTCACAGTCCTGATAAACTCTAAAACCGAATTCATCTAAATTTTATTTTAACAAGAAAAAAATTCATTTTTTAAAAAGTTTTATTTTTCGATTAACCTCAATTAAAAATTCAGTTACTCTAGCTCCGAAAGTTAGGAAAATTTTAAGCAAGGATACTTGCCGAATCAGTTTTACCAATTAATTTTTTTTATGAGAGATTTACGATTAGGTAACTCCCAGGCAACTAATTAACAAATTTCCACTGGTTTTTTTTTTTAGGTTAAAGCATAGGTATATTCTTATTAGAGATAATCCTATTCGAGATACTGTTGGATACTAAAAGGGACATCTCTTCCAATAAGAATTCAAATATTAGTTTATCAAATTTTTTTTTTTACTAGATCCAACCCTATTGGTTTTCCAGTGGGTTTTTGATCAAGAAAATGTGAATGATTTGTGAGGAGGGAGTATACATGGGCCTTGGCGCGACCAAAAATGGCATGGGCCAATGTTTGAAGAGGAGGTGAATGATTGAGTGGGTGGGAGTCGGAGAAAACAAAGCAATTGCCGGAGACAACCAAAGACAAGGCTTTGTGGGCTTCCTATATAACAGACAATGATGAGGCCATTAATGCTGGGCCCATTAGAATGTTTGAATCAATCTTAGACATCATTTATCATTTGTTTGACCCAGCATGTTCTCTCTTCGCCGTGCAAAAGTGAATGCCACCCCTCCGGAGTGGGTTTTTAGCAGGCAAAGGGACTAGACATGCTCTTTGAGGGAACAGATTCAATCCTGGAGCACGTCACGGCTTGGGAGAGGTATTTTCGAAGTCAAAGTCTTAGTTCATAAACAACGGGGTCTTCTTGTCCCAATTTAGCCTACAGCGTTGGTTAGGACCGGAGTCAAGAGTTAGTTGCTTTGTTCTTAGATTATGAGTAAATCCAACCCTTTTTCTAAAATTTATTCACCAAGAGAAAAAAAATGAATGTCGGATTCCCTTATACTTTGGGAACAATTCATGGTTCCATAGCCTACATTATTTGCTTGTGCCCAACGCCTTGTTTTAGTCCTAATCATTTTAAAACAGAATAAAAATGTCTCGAAACAAAATGGGGGACAAGAGTGTCCTGTCCTAGTTTCATTATGATATATCATCCTTTTTAATTTTATAACTTTATTTCACTTGTCATTAATATAATATTATAATTTTTGTTATCATGTTGTTCACAATTGATGAATTAGGTTCCATGGGTTGCATGATGTGTTTTAGGAAATATTTTGAGTTTACAGAGTTTTTTTTTTATCTTTAGAAAAGAGAATTTTTCTTTGTTAATTTACGGTCAATTTTATAATCAAATGTATTTTGCCAATTTTTTTATCTATTTTCTTTATAAAATTTTTACCTTAAATTTTTATGCTCCAGATACATTTGATTATAAAATAAAAAATTCACAAAAACAATATCAAGATAGGGTTGTCTGTCCCGATTCATCCCATGAATATCCCTGGTTTACCCCCAAAAAAAGAAATACATAAATTAAATAGATTAAAAACGAAAAGTCGTATATTTCCTTGGATCCTAACTCTACTCTTGGCTAACAATACGAGACTCTTCGCAGGATTTAATAAAATATTAGTACACTTACTTCCGTCATTCTTAACTTAAACATTGGCTTCGGCTCGATTACGTATAATTTTATAAAACTATACAAGAAAATTTAACATCTAACAAGCTTTAAATATTTTATTGATCTTAGAAAAATTGTTAACGAGACTTTATAAAAGTATGGGAGGGAATTTTATACCAACACAGCTGAAGGTTACTCCTTCCACGTGGCAGGGGAATGAATACTGAACACTTGTATTTTAAAAAAAATATAATTATCCTTCCTGTCTTAAATATATATATTTTTTGTAATGTTCATTACACAATAAAATAAATTTTATATTTTGGACTGGAGGAGTATAAAACGAAGAAAGAGGAATGAGAGAAAGATAAAAGGAAGGAGCGAGGGAGAAATTTTTCACAAGATAGATTTTTTTTGGTTAAAGCATAAGTATCTTCTTATTGGAGGCAATCCTATTTAAAGTACTGTTGCGAACTAAATATGAGCATATCTTCTAACAGGGATTTTTTTGGTTTTCACCAGGGTATCCATCGGAGCAAGCCTAATGAATAATCCCTCGGGTACTGTTGGGCCCAAGATGGGGGTGACCCTCCCAGGCACGCTTGTTCCATTCCCATCCCTCCAGGAATCGAACCCTAGAGGCGATGGTTAAGGGACACAACTCCCTTACCAGTTGTACCAGCGCACGCTGGTTCCTAACAGGGATTTGAACCTTGATTCACCATGTTGTGAGGGATTAGTCTCTTCTACTAGACCCAATACTTATTGGTTCACAATATAGATTTTGGTGATGATGATAATTAGGCTAAATTAAAATATTTATTGGAAAAGGGGCCAAGCCCAGATTATTGCTAGGGACACAGGTTCGGGTAACATCTGGGTGTGGGCCCAATAAAGGCCATTTCGGCGTATGTCTGGCAAAGCCCAAAGATCAACAGGCGGATTATGGCGGGGGAAAAGAAAGGGTTGACCGGTACGATAATATTTTCGTCCGCTCTCAGTTGATCTGTCTTCCTTGCGGCTGCGGGGAAGCTCCCATGTCCAGTTTCATTTCCCCTCTCATCATAGACTTTCTGTGCAGGGACCTTCGTGGCTAATCACTTAAGGCTAATTTAGTATTTATATATGGTCGGTATGTAATATTTATGAGATTTGGGATAATACTACCTCTGGTCCTTAATATAAGATTCTGTTTGACTTTTATTTTAATTTTAAATATAAAACCCTAATCCACTTTGTCTCTCATATTTATATATTTTTTTTCAAAATAGCCCTTCTAACAATAATAGTTTTAATCAATATATTTGATTAGTAAGGATATTTTAGGAAAGACAACACTTATTCAAGACAAATAACTAACTCAACTTACTTCTTTAATCTCTTCAAATTAATCAACTGACTCTTATAATTAGGACAGGAGATAGTACTAATTAGTCTAAAAAATTGTTTGACGATGAAATGAAGTTAGGCTCATAGGCTTAAAACATATACGAAAACACTGCTCCCCATTTCCTATGACTTCTTTTTTCTTTCTTTCTTTTACTTTTTCGTTTTTCTTTTGGGTTTTATCAGGTAGGTAGGCAGGTAGGAAGTTTGAGTCATCGTTCCCATCGCATCCTCAAGACCTTGACACATGGACCGAAGACTTGCGAGTTCATGCTTTTGTTTTATTTTGTTGCGCATATCCGTTAATCCCCTCATTTCATAAAGTTTATAAAGGAGGTTTAATACTAGCTATGAAACTTTTTTCACACGCATCCGTCAAGAATCAAATCCCGAACTAGATGTTAGTTCATGCCTCTATTATATCTTTCTCACATCTTTATAAATGCAATTTAATTACGTGTCATACCTGGCAGGAGCATCTAAAATATTACTACTGTCACTCCTTGATATAAAATTTTATTTAATTTTTATTTTGATGCTAAATATAATACTTCAATACACTTTTTTTATATTATTTATTTTTTTTAAGAAAGTCATTCTAATTATAGTTCTAACCAATATATTTAATTAGTAAAAATATTTTAAAAAATACAACACCTATTTATTATAAATAACTAATATACTTATTTTTTTAATATACTTAAAATTTTCAACTAACTCTTATATTTATATTTAGGTATTATGTCATCCCATGCCATATATAGGATTCCTGTTTGTTTATTTATTTTTTCATCCTACACGCCGAATGGAATTGATGTGCGAAGGGGACTGTGGAGCTGTAAGCTTGATTGGAGTGAGGAAAGTAGATCTCACTTTTAAATAAAGAACATTATTGTTTATTCATGAGATTACTTCACTTAAAATCGATTCCCACTCTATAAACTGCCACTCTTAGATCAACCAAGGGTAAAAAGAAAATTTTACGTACAAACCCCAAACTCGATCACTTCTATCATCAACAATTACACACGCCTCACACAACCTCAACAACCTTGCAATGCATATTTGGAAGCTTGTCAAGCAAATCCACTGTTAACATAGACGCTTTCGGTTTCGTCTTCATGGTCATCCTCTGATCAGCCGAAGAATTATGATCCCACATGTTAAACGAACCTGTCCAGTTACTAGTGTTCCTTTCACATGCACCCAGCCACTTTGCTTGCATGTACCTTTGTTTCCTCCATGGTCCCAGGTGCATTTTCTTCTGCTCCATGCACTTCTTCGCCGCCATGCACATTATCTTTATCACGTTGCTTAGTCTTTCTGTTTTCCCCACAAACACCTCAGGCAACCGCCGCACCAGGCGGTTGTAGTCCTCGCTTCCTCTTGCCATCTCGAACTCCGCCCGGAAGTTCAGCTCTATGATCACCCTCACCTCTCCTTTCTTTGAGCTTGTGCTGTCTATCACATCTACAAAACTGTGTTCTCCTGCAGATATCATCACGGTCGTGTTCAACGTTAATAAACCGTTTATCCATGAAATTTTTTGTCATCATACTATTAAATTAAACTGCTTTAACTTTTCCTCTCATTGCCCAGTTGTCTAAACTTATCCTACGAATATAAATATTAAAAAGTGCCTGCGATGCAAAGGATGGAGATAAAATATATAAATATTCACGAGTTGCGAGATAATCATGTCCAAAAGATACAGAGAGTTCTTTTAGATATATTTTTTTTACTCTGTTGATGGTGGGTATATAAACATATGTATGTATGGCGACCATAAAAAATTAAAGTCTCAATGACTTAGATATGATATATATTGTGTTATTATACTTACACCTCTTTATCCGACCATGGTTAGTGGCTTCACCTCATATGTTGAAAACGACGTCGACGCAAATAGGCGAATATAGACTTACTTAGGTTATACACGTTATAATTTTTAATACCATAATGGTCATTATCTAATGAGTTTAAGAGAGTGTTTGGGTAAAAACTAAATCATGATTTTAAAAGTGTTTTTATGGTATGTAAAATAAATATGTAGAAAAAATTGTCTCATTTTGTGAAAAATACTTCTGAAAAGCATTTTTTTAGTGCTTCCAAACACCCTTTGACTCGATCAGCTAAAGTAGTAATTATCTAGTGACATGAAAAAGACTTTACAACTAGCTATATATATAGGAAAGAACAGACAATCTAGCTATAATATAACGTAGGCTCTAAGATCTACATATTCATGTGGTATGAGATTTATGTAATAAAAGGGAACCATATATGGGTGGGTAGACAGTTTCATTATTTACTCTCATCTACTCCATGGTTAGTGTGGCTTCTGTATATCATATGTATTGAAAGTGAAATGCATTTAAAAAAAAAAGATATCATATGATCTATGTTTGCCAAGTCGCAACGTGCCCCCTATACCTTATAATTTTTATTACAATAATGGTCATGATCTATGCACGTATTAGTCTAACTCGACGGCTAAAGAAATAATAGCTTAGTGATATGAAAATAACATCTATAATTAGATAAAAAAGCCAAAAGAAGCTAATTAACTCAATATGGGTTCGACCTACCAGATTTGTTTAGACACGAAAGGCCAGAAAAGTTGCCATTTTTTTTTGGGACCAAAAGGAAAAAGTTACCGTACACAGTCGGATTTAAATTTAAAATACCATGAACATAAGAAACAGATTGAACAAAACTATATCTGGCTTTGTGGAGATGAATAGGTTGGAAATGGGTGAGGAAGAAGATCGGAAATGATGGAAAGGCACCTTAATCATAAGCTTAAAGAATATTCCATCAGCGACGACGGAATGATGCAGTAATAGTATGCACATAGTAATGCGTTCTGAAATTCCAAAAATACCCTACCAAAATCTGAAAAACTAGCTACTATATATGCCACAAAAATCTTTTGTTTTTTTTTTTCCATTACTTTTTCACTTCTATCCTTATTCAGAGAGATATTCCCTCCACTTTTACTTACTATGTTAGCAATTATATTTTTATATCCATGGTTATTGCATTCCTTTCACTATTTCGCTTTGTAATACTTTGAAAAATCTTTTCAACATGCTAGACAAACATAAAACTTGTGAGGAGAAAACATATATATACCTGCTGGAATATCCTTGGAGGTTCTCCATTTAGTTTTACAGAGGGCAGAGTTATAGCCCAGACTCTGGAGGCGCCTAGAAACGTCTCTCATCAAGCATCGTCGGCAGCCGATGAGGGCCACTTGTGAGCCACAACTACACGCTGTTTCGGCGTTCTGTATCTCCTTCAGCGCTTCTTTCGTTGCGTTCCTCACCCCCGTCTCTATTGAACTTGTTCTGCATATTACACTCTGCAATTCCCATTATGCTATCTCGTTAATTATTTCATAATAAATTACGCCCTCGAGAGATTTACCAACATTCATTAAAGTGCTCCTAATTGCTGGTATTGTCTGTTTTCTTTTCAACACATGCATGATCTCTGTTTTAAAGTGCATATATAGTTATACAGATCCAGTGACCACAACTGACTAAGATTTTAGGCTTAAAATAGAAAAACGAATGAAAATTCGGATAAGATTGCCCGAAAATTAACATTGTCAGTTAATAACTTAACATCTAGCTGTTATCTGATCTGGATATCATAGAAGTAAACTATGCTAACCGATTAAATTGACGAAGAGTATCGTAATGAAAGATTTTAAGTGTAAAATAATTTTTTTCAGGAAAGTTAGCATATATTTTGAAAAAGGATATTTCAGAAATATTTGTGTGAAAGAAAACAGTTTGTAATTAAACAATTAATTCCTGCATTTAAAGTATGCTAAAAAACAGATTCGGCTAAATTTTTTCATCGGTTATCGCAGATCTCATGTTAAAAACGTGAGGAGTGTGTGTGTGATCAAATTCAAAAGGTTTGAACTAAATAAGAAATCAATGAACGTTGCTAAGTTCTTAAATTCACCTGCAAAAGTTGCTGTTGATTGTCCCAGAAGCTACTTTTCTCTTCAGTGGAAGCATCATTTTCTCTCTCTTCAACATCGTCGTCGTCCAGCAACTCGATTTCGTTCGAGCAGCATTCGTCGCTGCTGCTACTTTTAGCCAAAATCTCTCCGTCATCGAGGAAGTCGAACTCTACGTCGCCGACGCTAGGCTGTTCCTCCTCCCGGCGGCAACTGGTCGCAAGAATTCTGGTCATTCTCGGGGCCACGGCGGAGCCTCGCATCGTTGATCACGTGGGGGAAGTTCTCTCTGTTTCCTACCCTCTCCAACAAATTGAAGAGACGGGAAAGAAAGGACTCGGTTTCGCTCTCGGTGTGCAAGATGGATGATGCGCGAATTCTCTTTTATACCAGAACGGGGTTAGCTGGGCCCACTCAGGACCAATTTGGACGATCCAATCGCCGCGCACATGAACATCAATCCTGGCGCTTACGTGGCGGAATCTCGTTGGCCAACTCAGATCGGAATAGTTATAAATTTCGGGTGAAACCCCTCTCGGACAGCCAGGATCCACGTCAGTAGCCCTCCAATAATTTCATCCAATCCCATCATCTGGATATACTCGAATATCCATGATTCATTCTCCATTTTCAAAAAAAATTAAAATACATTTTTAATTCCTTAATTTTGCTCTGAATAAATAATTTGAGTAATAAAACACATTTATGCAAAACTAGTTAAATTAAGTTAAAAAAATTAATTTATTTTAAATAAAGGGCAAAGGTTAGAACCTGTTAAATTAAAAAATTAAATTAAGGGAGGTAACTTCACCGGTAACTCTCAAATTTGATGAGATAATAGTGCTTAACATATTACAAGTGCCATAAAAAATTAACATAAAAATGTTTTAATGGACATTTTAACTATGAGAGTGAAATAAAATTAAAAGAAAAATTTTAATAAATAAAAGTACTATTTTCTTTGCAGCAAACCAATGGAGAAAATTTTTCAAGGGAAAAAAAAAAAAGGGTTGAGACTAGTCTAGAGACATAATAGTGGGTATTTTATGATGCTTCCAGGAGGGTGTGGGCAGCAGAAGAAATGGCGTCTCGGCGGCGACGAAACCGAGAAGAAACGTTGCGGAATCTGGTCCGTTGGATGTATAGGCTTATCCGATAGAGGGTGTAGGTAGGACCCACGTGTCATTTTCCAGATTGTAGTAGAGTGAAATACGCGGCGGCCTGCCTATGGTTTTCTGTTTTCATTGGGCCCCAGGCCACGGGGAGCTCCAATGTTGAGGACTTTTTTGTCATTTGGTTGGGGTACAATAATTGGAATGAGACCACGTCTACAGAAAACGACAAAATTTGGGCGTGGGATGAGCAATGCGTTCCGATATGTGTGCAGATCTGGTCTGCTTTTTACCGCTTTCATACTTGAAGAGTTGGAGTCAATGTTTTAAGAACCGGACCGGACTGGACGGTCGAACCGGTCGAACCGTGACCCGGACTCGTTCGGTTCGGTTTGGACCAAAAACCGTTCATATAGTTGAGCCGGATTGGACCGGAGTTGAGCCGTTATTAAGCCGGAAACCGGAGTTGGACCGGGAACCGGAACGGTTTTCAGAAAACCGGACGGTTTTTTAGCCTGACTGAAAAAATACTAAAATTTTTTTAAAAAAATAGAAGAAAAATAAAAAAATTGATCCCCTTAAATATCCTAATATATTTTTAGACTATTTATAACCATAGAGTATTATTTCATTGAAAATTTTATATATTGTGGTGTTAAAATCGTAAGTCGCTAGTCTTTTTGTTTTAATATTTGGTCTATCGTTTAAAAAAATATTTTGATTTGAATGAATTGATAATTTGTAATATCATTAAATATTTTAAACATACATAAATTTAAATATATAAGGTTTTAGTCCATTTTCAATGATTTCATTATAATTTTAGATTATTTAAATGCATTTCTAATTATTTAATAATTTGATATTTTTCATATATACTAATTATATGTATATAATATTGTTTTAAATTAATTATTGCATCACCGGTCTGACCAAACGGTCCGACCGATCTGACCGATTGAACCATGACCCGTTGATCTTTCCGGTTCGACTTTCGGTCCGGCTTTTAAAACATTGGTTGGAGTAACCTCGAGTATTGTATTACCGAGAGCAGGTGGCAAGCGGCTGCTAAGTAAGCTGGAGAATAAAAATTCAAATTTTAGGAAGAGTTTTTGTTGAGAGAGCTTCCTCGACCAATATTAGTTTTTAAGTGTAAAGTGAGTTAAAAATACCTTAAATTACACCCAAAAAAAACCCCTGGTATTGTATTGAAAAAAAAAAAGGTGACTTAAGCTTAGTTGCTTTTGTTTTTTTTTCCCCAGAGGGTTAGCTATCAATGTGAGAGTCTCAATAGCTGGTAAATTTGTAAATATTTTAATATATCTTTTTCCAAAATCGTGAGTCCGGGATCCCTGCTGCGGGGTCAAGTAAATTCATCAGGCATTCCGGCTGTTAGCTTTTTTTAATTAAAAAATAGTGCTACATCTTATCTTTAATATAATAATTGATTTGATCATAAATATGAGATCTTAATTTATTTTGTCTTTTATATTTATTTATTTTTTTCAAAATAATTCTTGTAATAGTTGCATATGTTAAAAGTTTTATCAAATGATAGTTCTAGTTAATATACATAATTAATAAATATTTTAGGAAAGACAGCATCTATTTATTACAAATAATTAACTTAACAAGCTTTCTTACTCTATTCAAATTAGTCAAGTAACTTTTATATTAAGGATAGGAAGTAATATGAAGTTACTAATTCAACATGTGTCTAATAATTTTGATTCTTTATATTTAGTACAAATTTCTGTACTAAATATAAAATCTAACTTGTAATCTAATTTACACTACCAATCAGTTCTTGTTTTTGCCAATGTCAAGATACCTATTCAATAATCCTTCACAATATTTTTAAAAACACTTTGTAACCGAGTTCAGGAATAAATCATTAAATGTTCCAAATACTCCATTCCTGGTAGGTTTTCAATCAATTGGAAGATATTACTTCAATATGATACAAATTCAAACAAAATCATATAAAATAGCTCAACAAATTAGAAAGAAGGTGGTTTCTACATTCTTGGTCACATATTCTTTTACGTTATGTTTGCATGAATGGAACAATAAGGGAAATATAGGGAGAAGGAATATAGGGTTAATGTTAAATTTTTCAAAAAAATTAATATGCAAGTTATTATAATTTTACCATGTTTTTAATTAGGTTTATGTGGTTTTTTTAATTAAATTTTACGGCCTTTTCACTTACGGATATTGATATTTATACTTGTAAATTATTATTAAAAATAACGCACATGACTATCATTTAACACTAGAACTGTGCACATACTGTGATTCACCCGTCCCTTGTTGGATGCTCATAATGGTTGAAATATTCATTTCAACTATTAGATTCGGTAAATCCGATATTGTTATTTATTGTTATTATTACCTAATGTCAGGATTGGATAATTTGCTGCTGGGAATGTGCAATAGACATGAGTGAATCGGAGAATTAATATGTGGCTCACCCGTTTAACCTATTATAAGTATAATGACTAGCGTCTATAATTGAGAAAAATTTAAGGAATCAGTAAAATATTAAAATGACAAGACTAACGAGTTGGAATTTTCTAATTTTTTTCTCCAAATATTTTGCCCGTGAGTGGCAAACTATGACGTGTTTTTTATTAATGCCGGAGGCAAAATACGACGTTGATGGAACATAAGTGGTCTATCATGCTTCCAGCTCCACATGATATGTGGCCAAAACAACAAAAACCCTGCATGATATGATAATATATCCTGTTTTGTATTGTTCTCCGTAGTGATGAGATTTTATTTATCTCCCAGAAAAATAATACGATGAAATGTGATTTTTTTTTTAAGAAAAAATTATCATGTTTTGGTTTAGGAGTGAAGTTAATCAATAATAAATAAATGAGAGAAGATTAAACAAAAAAAAAAGAGTGTGGTTCACGAATCTTCATGAATGATGATAATGTCAACATAATTAACACATAATTGAATAAAAAAGGACTTCATGAATGATGATAACGTCAACATAATTAACACGTAGTTGAATAAAAAAGGACTAAACACGGTCCACGTGGTGGATTATGACATATTACATCCCATTCTTAATATTCCTCTGGTCTTAAATGTAAGACATTTATACACATCAGTATGAGGGTTTTACATTTAGAATTGGAGGAGTACTACTTTCAATCCTTAATATAAAAGTTAGTTGATTAATTTAAGTAGATTAAAAAAATTAATTAAATTAGTTATTTGTAATAAATAGGTGTGGTCTTTTTTAAAGTATTCTTACCAATCAACTGTACTAGTTATAACTATCATTATTACAGGGACTATTTTGAAAAAAATGAAACAATATAAAAAATAAAATGGATTGAGGTCATATATTTAGAATCAAAATAAAAGTTAAAGTTCTTATATTAAAGGTCACATTTTATGATTGTTTAGGCAAAGTTTCAAACTCTAATGATTCACGCCTTAATTATGCGCGCTCTGCGGTCTCCATGACTCCATCTTTTCACATCTAGGCAAACTAACCCAAGCTCGTGAAATTTGCATATTCCTGTGAATTTTTTTTTTTCCATTTTATTAATCAAATCACACGTGGTTCTTGTTTTTGGCCAAATGGTGAACACTTTGTAAAAATTTAAAAATTATTATAAGTATAGTATTGAAGAACACTTCTCACAAAACAAAACTAATATGATAAGCTGGATTATTGAGTGTAAACTCATTTTCTTTTTAATAAGTAGGATCAATAGTTTGAATCTTGCAAATAAAAACTACTACATATGATCCTTAGTATGAAAAATGGTTAGCTATTTGAGTAGATTAAGAAAGTTTGTTAAATTAGTTATTTATAATAAACAAGTGTTGTCTTTTTTAAAATACATTTACTGATCGTATGTATTAACTAGAACTACTATTTAATGAGATTTTTAACATATACAACTACTACAAGGATTACTTTAAAAAAAATAAATATAAGAGACAAAATGAATTAAGATCTTATATTTATGACCAAATTAAAAGTTAAAATAACTTTTATGTTAAAGAGTTAGAGGTAGTATTTAAAAAAAAAAAAAAGGCAATTGAACTTGATAATATTTAAATTCAACTTGATGGCATCGGATGTCAATAATTATATAAAAATAACTAAATATTAGGTATATCCAAATCTATATCCAAAAGTTTGCAAATATTTAGAGTTAATCCTATTTTGGTGTGTGTTTTGTGAATA